ATAGTTTGATCGTTATAACTATATAACAAACTATATTACTACGTCATTGCTCCCTTTTTTTGGCTAAAAAACTCGCTGCTTTTGTCCAATGTGTCTGGAACAATTCCTCCGTTTAGATGGATGCTAAAGCCACGATGCACATGGTAAACCTGCCCCGCGAGACGCGATACTACGAGACGCAGTTCAAAAAACCCCAGTGCTTAAGGCTCAAAATTATTCTGTCGGAAAATCTGATAAACAGCTGCTATGGTATCTGAGCGAGAGAAACAATTACATTAACAAATGCGTTACCGTCATGTTCCCCAGCAATGTGTCCATGGTATGAACAACCTCACATGTGACTCCAGATTCAGTAGTTTGACACCTCCAAGGCAATGAATCAAAATTTATGATGGTGCATTGCTGCGCTTTCTCCCCGAGCACGCGACGAACTTGAGACTCAGGTTGTTTACCATTTACATGGGCAAACAATACGGTTCACGGTGTGGGTAAATGGTTCGCAAAGTTGAGGACTGGTAAATTTCGTTCCGGAATCGCTCATGGCTTTGAAGGAACGGAACACGAATCTCCGTTTGGAATCAGTTCCATCGGGAAAAACACGACTACCACTTCAGATGTTCCGTTGCTCTCGGAAATTTTCCGTTGGGAAGACCTAAAAAGTCGTGTTCCATTTACTTTCCAACCGGATTTCCCAGAAAATTTTTGTTAATTGTAAACAACCTCAAACTCTGGGTTTCCCGCTAAACCAATTAAAATGGTGCCAGGTTTAATGTGGGGTGCTAAAGCCTCAAAATAAACTTGATGACAGGACCCATGCATCATGCATCATTAGTCTGTTAGTAAGCTCTCAGCTCCGAGCGGAGGGTTTGTTGAATCAAAACACCAGAGGATCGATTAGTTTTGTAAAAGTAACTTGTGGTGATTTGTAATGATTGACACGCAACTTGCACAAGTTCTTTTTCAGTGAACGGGGTCATTTTTTAGGTTTGTTGAAGATAACTTAACGATCATTGGTTGACTCTTGATTGATAGCTTTACATTTTTAAAGCAAGGGAACACGGTTCAAAGGTAGCACAATTTGCCTAGGGATGTAAACTTATTAATAATCTCTTCATACAATCGATCAGACACAGTTCCCTGTTGATAGTTCTAGCTTTTTCTCTTTCCATAATTATATTTGTAAACACAATTCGTTTCCTGCGCAATATAAATAAACGAAAGTTTGTTACGCACGGCTTATTTTGCTCTTCAATTCTGACTGCATATGTTAACATCATATTTTAATGTTTCCAAGAGTCCGCAACATTTGACTACAATTATTTAAAGGAATGCTCTTCTTGATAGTAATATCTGTTATCTGGCTCTACCCTGCACGTTCCCTTTCAACTGGTAAGATTTATTAATTAGTTGTAGTATTTTCTTTTTTTTGCTTCTAGCTTCAAAGCATGCCACACGAGAGTCCACTATAAAGCACGTTGTAAATTTCAACACTTTTCATTACATTTTTCTTTTTTGCCTTACCGGTGGCTTGTTATTTTGACAAACCTATTATTTATTCTTATTTGCTTCCTATTTAGAATTAGGCTTAATTCGCGTTGACAATAATCGTCTTTACCTACCATAGCCAATAACTTACAATATACTGTTTGCAAAGGGCAAATGAACAACGAAGAAAGATTATCTATTCTGTACCAAAGAATTCTCAAACGTTTTAAATAACTGACGGAGAATTAAGTAAAATGTTTCGAGTGACCTTGAGCGAGTTTTACTTTAATTTGTTAACAAGGCGATTGTCTTATTGTAATAAAAAACATTGTCTTTAAACCGTTATTACAGGACCAATATAAAAACAGCACATAATGTGTGTAATTATGGGTAGCCCCGTCAACAGAGGTTTTAAGAGGTATTTTAAAAAGAAAAGCCAAATTTTTGGCTTTTCCAACTAACTGCAGCCGAGAGTGGGTAGTCGTTGTAAATACGTCAAAGATATGATGACGTTGAGCGGTGAAAATCGACTTAATGAGTCACAAAATCTGAAAACTTAGAAACACACTACAATATAATATGAGATTATTTATTATTTCAACTGTAAATTTGTTACCTGATTTTATATTTTCGCTTAAATTGCAAATATAACGAATGTGTTGCTGTACTTCAAAGTTTAAATGATTCCATACTGCAATTTTTATTTGAAAGCCCAAAGTGTCCACCCCTGAATTTGTATGAGTCGTGAGTCTCCAGGCAAAAGCTATATGCATTTTGAAGGTTTATGATATTCGATGCGATTTCCATGCATTGTCTACTCTTTGGAGACAGGCGGGGAAGGAACAGTATCCAACAGTTTCAAGTTCATTCGTACTTGTTTTAAATTCATGGTTCATTCTTTGGCTGAGGGTGGTCGCTGGTGCCCGGGTCTTGCTATCGATGTTCGTTTATTAGATAGGGGCTCCTTTAACATTGGAATTGCTTCTTTTCACGTTACAACTTCTTTCATTCTGAATTTGCGAAGTTTGAATATTTCATATGGAAAAAGGCTAATTTGAAACACACGGAAAATATGGAATGAAACATTTAATTGAAACAAACTAGGCCATTTGTCCACTAGTAGTCCTAGTTTTCACCTTAATAAACGTGCCACTGTTTGACGATCGATCAGTGCTAACAGTAGCAATGTCTAATCTTTCACTGAGAAACTTTCCCCTAATCGGCAGGTCCCCCTTAATTTTTTAATTGCAACGCTAAAGTTAATAAATGATCTCTACTTATCCTGGTGTTCAACTTAATTAGTCCCCGGGCATTAGTCAAGCAAATTATCATTTGTGTGGTTACAGTGAACGTTATCCTTAAGCACACTTTCAACTAAACATAGCCATCAGCTCTGTTACTTCTGAAAATCTCGCCAGAATTTGTCCTTTGTCCCGTGTCCCTTTAGTGCCGCTTTTAATAACTCTGATTGCCAATGATGATTTTATGTAAATATCTGAAATCAAACACGGTCAGGTTCATTATTGCAAGATCAGCTACATGTACGTAAAACAGAAATGCGAGAAATAGTTCGGAACGAAATGAATTTCTATTTAATCAACCCTTAAACAATTAGTTAGCTTAAAAAAAGTAAGGCAATTATTTCAGTGATTTATAGTTTTTTACATATAAATGGCTGGCGATTTCGTGTTTATTAATATGAAAAAACACGTTCTTATTTTTAATAATGCATATTTTACATAGTTTTTCGAAGAATCTACAGGCGCATTGCGTCAAAAACGTTTCAAGAAACATCGACGTTCTTCTTACAACAATGATAGGCTAATGATCGCTGATAACACGCTTTTCTTTTTCTTTTTTCTTGGGGAGTATGACGTCAGGGAAATTAGGGTGACAAAAGCTGTGGGATATGTGTAACGAACAAATTAGCCGACAAAATCTCTATCCCTGCATCAAGGTGTAATTCTCTTTGTTGGCCGTTCGTTGCTGGCATAGTTACCATCACACAAAACTTATAAGAGTTCTCAGTCCTCCCCTTTAAACTTCCAAATTCACTGCAAATAGTATTTGTAAATAATCGAAAAACAACGAACAGTAGTTTTTAATTAGAAAGGGTGAGAATTTCTTCTAAATGCGAAGAAATCAGTAGCATCATGATCTCAACAAAGGAATGATCGATGAAAATGATCACAACGAAAATACACCCACACGTTTTAATTTATCATTAAGTGGACTTACGCCATTCCGCTTCAACGATCATCTTGTTTGACTCTCCAAACTGAAAAATAAGTGTATCTCTCCAGAAGCCCAGATTAAAGGCCAGCAGTAGGAATAAATGGGAATGGAGCCAACAGAAAAAAAAGGAAAGAAAAAAAGAAGCTGCGAGTCGCCGAGGCCCGCTATATTTCTATCGGCTTGGTTGGTGTTCGTCGTTAGCTGCGTCAAAACAAATGGAGTCCAAATCGCTTCCATTTTCTCTTTAAAGTGCTTCTGCTGTCAAAATTTATCGCCAAAAGTAGTTCTCAACTGCTAAAAACGGCCGCAAAAACAACCGGATTGCGTTTGTATTGACGCGGTTAACGACGAATACCAACCAAGCCCGATAGAAATATAGCGAAAAGGTATTAACCTCTCGTTCAGCGACCCACACACGATCTACACGCGAGGTAAATTTCGACAAGTTTATAAACCTCTCTCAGCACAGCGAGGGCCTTCGGCCTCGCTTCATGGGGAGCGAGGCGGCTATTTCTCTGTCTTAAAGCGAGGGTGCATTGTTATCTCGATATCGGGATTAAGTTTCTCGTCAAGTTATTATCGACAACAAATTCTAGGACTACCGACTAGAATGTCAATCCTATTTTTGTCACATGAACCCTGGTGTTTAGTGACCTTAGCTGCCACTAGTCACCTGTAGCTTATTGGTAGAGCATCTGGTCTAGTAACAGTCTCATAACTTTGACTCCTATTAGCAGTACCCGCCTGTGTTACTGTGACTGAAAAAAAAAACCATCTCTCTCAAATACTGAGAATTTTAAACGTGCCTTTCCGGTTTTGTTTCTTGGAAAAGTTAGACAGATAACAACCAACTGCGTAAGTCTTATGTCATTTCCACTATCTGTACTTTCATAGACAACAGCTCTCGACAAATGAGCACGAAATAAACAAATTTTTTGTCTTCAATAAAGTTTTATCATATCGTATTTTGTCATCTCCACCGTCTAGTACCTAATGATTTGTTAACCAGGTTTTGCACCGAAGTTGACGTATAGTAATAAGCCTTTTCCGTTCCATTCTGACATATCGCTTCGTTTTGGAGTGACGTAAAGGCATTTCTATCTCTAAAATTGCTATAATTCTTTGTCATTAGAGAACGTAGATTGAAAACATTCTTGTAGGATTTATATCATATTTAATGGCGCTTTGCTTGTCTTGTTGCAGATCGTTACACTTGGTACCTGTTTCCTAGTGCCGGTAACAGGTTATATGGATATCATCCGCAAGCCAACCTTTCTTTTATGAGCGAGCTTCTTCCTAATGGCTCTCTTGTGACTAAAGATAACGGTGTGAATGGGCTCTGGGTACCACCAGGAGAGAAGGTCACCCTGGGAGATTTCTCGTCTCGTTGTTTTGCGGATGCCGCAGTCTGTAATAACTTTACTGTCTCCTTGCTATTCAAGATCAACGGAAGCATTCCAGAGAATGAGACAGTAGATATCATTCATCAGATGCCTATAACAGATGCAAGTCATCTTGTTCGGTTCGCTGTTTCAAATAATAACTCTCATTTCAAGGCTGTTGCCATTGTTTCTCGGGATCTCAACGAGACAATGGCCTCTGCTGTGTTTTCCTTCACCGAAAAATGGATTCACGTAGCACTTATCTACAAAGGGCCAGGTGATCTCGAGATTTTCTTAAACGGAACAAATGACAAATTGAATGCCTCCTCAGTTTACTTCAACGGTTCTATCCCACAAGTCAGCATGACTCTAGGGGCTTCCACGAGCTCCAATGGTTTTTTCGCGAGCTATTTACAGGTATTTGAATACGCGATACAAGGTGATGTCAACAGTTTAAAGGACGAAAGTTTCACTCAAGGTACGCTCGTCTGACGACTTATCTCTGCTAAAAAATGTTTTACCAAAGTTAAACTGTTTCTTATATAAATTGTAATTTTAAATGATCTCCTCCTCTTACTATGTTTTTTTTCGTCCTTAGCCACAAACCCAGATCTTACTACAGTGACAGTTAGGCAATCTTCAAGAGTTTTTCAAGAGTCAGATGGAGTCATTACTATCTTTATCGATAGAGAAGGCAACCTTGGTGTAGTATCAGCCTTGATGTGAGTGCATCGATGCAAATTGATTCGTTGTGTGCCATTTTTATTTATGTAAAATGTTGAAAGCCGCTTGCAGAAATGGAAGAAAAAAAAATCAACAACAACAACAACCGTACAACAAAATCAATGAATTTGAAGTCTTGACGCATTATATTTCAAAGCTAAATTCCCGTAATTGAATCGTGAGCGACGCATGCCGTAGTCTGAGAGTAAAACAGGAGGTGACAGAACAGGAAATCATTATCTTCGTTTTGAGTAAAATACAGATTTTAATAGTTTGTCTTTCAATTCTTCTAAATCATTTCAGGTACACCCTGTCAGAGGGTACTTTGTCCAACATTTCGGATTTCACCATGGAAGATTTGTCATACGGACAGCTCGTCTTCAAACCTGGAGAGGTTGTTAAAAGTTTGTCAGTGAACATCGTAAACGACGCATCGCCAGAAGTAAACGAAACCTTAATCTTGAACTTAACATCCCAAGATGGGATCACTAGTGTAACAGAAGAGAGTGTTCAGTTAGTTATCCTGGATAACGGTGAGTACTGTCAGGTCAGAAAAATACTGTGGATTGCAATGTAGGTAATCGCACCACGTGAAATATTCCAAGACGGTGTAGGAGTCTGCTGGATTCTAAACTGGGGATTCCGGACTCAGGCAGTATTCCGGATTCTTTGTCAGTGGCAAAACATACCAGTTTCCACAGCTCAAACTTCTGGATTCGATAAGCAAATAGTTCCAGGATCCTTAAATTCGGATTACCATACAGGAGGAAAAAGTTCATGAGAAGATAAAGGATAAGACAGCCCATTTCCTATACTTGTTGTAGCAGTTGAACAGAATCTTATTTTCCGGTATCCTCGGAGACCGAGGGGCAGTTAGTCCGGACAATAGAATGTTCGTGGTGAATGTTTACTGCAAGTTCGTCTCGATCTTACAGTAAACTTTCACCACGAACATTCTGTTGTCCCGACTAACTGTCTCTCGGTCTCCGAGGATGATTTGCTAGGCACTTTCACTAAGTTTTGTAATAAGAAAATGAAGGGAAATTAACTACATCACATCTTACATTTTTAAGTTTTGAGTTCCTTGACATCCATGTAAAAATATATTTTAGATATATACCGTCATTGTATATAACACTAACTTTATCGGAGGGTATGTCAGGATCAGAAGAATTATAGCATGGTCAATACTAACGTGTTTATCTTAAATATTTATTCATCCATTACATTGGGCCGTTTAAGTGGGAGCCCTAGCTTCACGTTAAGGTACCTTGATAAGATGTTATGTGAACCTTCAGGTTGAATAAATACTAACGTTTTTTGTCTTAATTAATCGTTTGTGACGCGTAAAACATCCCAACCAGAACAATACTTCGAGGTGGTTATAACAAAACAAAACAAACAAACAAACAAAAAAGAACAACAAGAACAACAACCATGAACAACAATCAGTGATTAATTTGTAACATCTTGTAGATATCGACGAATGTGCAAGCGGTCCTTGCCAAAACAATGGAACCTGCAGTGACTTGGTATTAGACTACAACTGCTCCTGTACTCCGGGCTATGCTGGAAAAAATTGCACTTTAGGTAAGATACTATAAGAAAACGTCTTGACTTCTTGCCCTTTTTTTCAATCTTTTTATCTTGCTTAATCTTTGGTTTTCAAAACATGAACGATAATTAATTTTGTTCGGCGACGGTACGTGCCGACGGTACGTCGACTTAATGTTTTATTTAAGTTGTTCCTCTTAGGCAGTAATTCAGCTATTTCTTGTTCGTGAAACGTGTGAAATGTTCCGTCTTTTTCTACAGCTCTACCAAGACGACGACGTTTTTTCGGTTACGGTCCTTTTTCTGCCGTTTTAGCGGTTTTAACCTCATTTAATCGGATAGTGGAAACGCTTTCCAAATTTGGTCAACGGTAACTGGCTATGAAGAATTAGCCGGGAGATTTGAGCCAAAATGAAGAAACATTTTGGATAAATAATTCTAAAGGACTGTGCAATAATTATCAGGAGGGGGAGGGGGGGGCCTGAAAAACTAAAGTTATCTAGCAAAAACTTAAAAAATACCCCCCCTCCAAAACAAAAAAAATCGGTTCTAACCCCCCCTCTGTTATGTTAAAAATAACGTCGCACCCCCCCCGTCCCAAAACTGGACTGAGCTGTCATCACAGCTTCAATAATGACAAACGTTATTATGTAACATCTAGTATCGAGAAGGATGTTGATCGCTTGACTGAAGATTTAGACAAAGCATTTGCTAAGTACTGGGGTGCTTACCACATTGGCTCAAAATCTAAAATTTCTGAAGCCAGAAAAGAGAAAGGAGCAGGGAAAAAAAATCAAAGAACAGGAGATTGAACGCTTCAAATAACAGACGTAAAAGAGCTTGCATTATATTTAGATCCCTGGGAGGATAGCCTGTTGAACTTTGTTATGAGCCACATATATATGGAATTCTGCAAATCGATTCAGTCGATGAAGAAACGTTACTTTTTGTCACATCAAAAACTGACAAAGCTTGTCTACGAGATCTGTTTGATTCCCATTGTTTTATGGGGGAAGCTGAAAAACAAGTTCATGATTTTTGCTTTACATAGGATCAGCTCAATTAATTAGAAGACGGGTTAAAATTGATCAGTTGTGAATTTGCTTTTCATTTTGATGGAATATTTTCAATAATCGTTTAACAGCTGTTCGTGTTGATATTTGTTACAGTCTATCATGATGCCTGTATTGAGAATCTTTTATTGCGTTTAATTTTATTTACATTTCGAATAAAACTTAAGGTCCCCCCTCCGTCAAATGAGTGATTTTACTTTGAGCCCCCCCTATCTTGGCAGCAATTTTATGTAATGCCCCCCCTCTGGTTTTAGGCCCCCCCTCCTGATAATTATTGCACAGTCCCTAATTAAACCCAAAGTGTCATTAGTGTTCTGAGGTAATACCCGCATGTACTTCCTTTGTCCTTTGCAGACACCTACACTTGGTACTTGTTTCCAGTCGGTGAAAATCGCCTCTACGGTTACGAGCCAATGTTAAACATGTCTTTTGAAAGCGATGAGCTGTCTTCTGGTATAAAAGTGGCCACGAAGAAGAACGTACTAGGAATCCAAATACCACAGGCAAGCGAAATCGACTTAGGAGACTTCGCCAGTCCATGTTTTAAGAACGCCACTGTCTGTAGTGGCTTCAGTGTTTCATTTTTGGTTTATATCGTGGGGCCAGTGAACGTGGGAGAAAGTATGAAAGTACTGGACTCTAACTCATCACTTCGAGGCTCCTATCACGTGCAATTTATTGTAAGAAGGACTGCTGCACGCCTGGAGGGACATGCCTATGTTGTTGGTGGTAATTCTTCAACTATTCTTGATAGAAAAATAGCTTTTCCTGCAACTGATACCTGGGTTCACGTGGCTATTGTGTACTCAGCAGTTTCCACCAGTCTTGAACTGTATGTGAACAGCGTTATGGTGACAGCTGGTGACGCTGTGGTATCTTCTCCTTGGCAAAGTGACAACTCTGCTGTTCACTTATCATTAGGTTCAAGGACAAACGTTCATGACATCTTTGTCAGTTACTTGCAGGTCATCAAGGGCACCCTAACTGCCACGGAAGTGGCACAACTAGAAAAAGAAAGTCGAGAGCAAGGTAAGTCAACTAAGTTCGTGCGGTGTACACATTTTCCTGGAGAGGTCATTTTTGGCTTAATAATGGGGAAAAAGGTTGAATGTTTTTTTTCTCGCGAAATAGTGCCTCTTCTTTCCTCAAGCTGCCTTAAAAATTGTCCTTTCGAAAAATACTTTCTTGAAAGAGTTGCCTCTTATGTGGTAGATATATGTTTTACAACATGTTTTATAAGAAATCGGGATATTTTTTCGTTTGATTTCGCTGTTTGTATTCAGGTAAAATGTTTTTGCAGTAAGAACATGTTAGAGTTTTTTAATTAATCTTAAGTTCTCAATCCTTCCAGCGACCAGCCCATTTATGGTACATTTGGAATTAACAAAGAAAAACATTGTTGCAAGTGAAGATATTGGGAATGTTACATTGACTTTACGGCGAAATGGAAACCTTGTTTTGGCTTCAGTAATCAAGTAAGTGACTAAGACAATCTTTAGTAAAATCACTCAAACAACAACAAAAATATTCATTAGCAGGTGAATTTCCTTCTTCGTCTTCTTCCTTTGATTGGTAGCTGAGTTGTTAACTCCGATTTTAGGAAATAACTCCATAGTGGAGAATATATTTAAGCGTATTTCTGACACCCTTAGGCAGATCTAGACACGGTATGAAAAAGTAAGCAGAAAATATTTTTTACCAAAATGTTTTTTCCTTTCCTTTTGTTTTGTTTTTGTTTTGTTATTTTTTAAGTTATTCAATAAAAGAAATCACTGCTACGGCCGGGGCTGACTTCTCTGGAGTTCCAGGTAGTGGTGAAGCGGTTATCCGGCCTGGGGAGACATCTGCTGACATCTCAGTGGAGATCATAGACGATGTAATCTCTGGTGAAGGAAAAGAGACATTATCTGTAGCAATATCTACATCAGATAACGTAACAACGTTTTCGGAAGTGGAAGTGAATATCACTATACTAGACAATGGTATGAATATTAAAGCACAGAAATTTTTTCGGGTTAATTTGCAATTTATTGCTTAAATTGGTATTACAGCTGCGACGATCATATCTTCATTGAAATTTGTTTTCTGCAGTTCACGTCATCTTTATTCTATTTTATTTTCTTTCATGGTTAAGACGAATTCACCTAATTGACCTGTTCTAAAATATACGTCTTTATAGCTCAGTTGATGGAGCTTTGCAGCACTAACGCAGAGGCCATGCGTGTCTAAATCCCGTTCAGTTAAAGCCCCGATATTATTTTCGGGTTTATTTGCAATTGCTTAAACTGCTAGTGCAACTGCGACGATCATATCTTCATTTAAATTAGTATGAACACTGTTATTAACTATTAGGACTTTCTTTGGTTTGTCTTACCTTTTGCCGAGTGGATTGCCTCATGTTAATAAGATAGCCTTTGAAAAGTCTCTATAGTGCGAGAAAGCGCAAAGATGGCGTGCGCTCCTTTTCCCTAAACCACGCTTGCCGACATGATTTTCGCCTGTTCCATTTACCCTGTTCGTTGGCGAGCAAAAAGACGACGGCCTAATTCTTGCAACTGATGTTATTGCTTATCCGTCGCAGTTATCTTCAAAATTTCTAAAACTAAATTTCCCTTCAACTGTGAGAAAGTTTTTTTCCCTAACTGACACCAACCACGTTTTCATCATCAGTTCTTCTATTTCCAATATTACTGTATTCTATCTTGAAGCAGGGCTTCCGAATCCAAAGCTCCGTGCCTATAAAAGCATTTGGTGACTTATCGATGCGAGAAATTTTGGTTCTGATGTTAGCGCACGCCGTCCCGCCCGCCCAGCCATACATACTTTAATAAAGGAGAAGAGAAGACTTTGTCGAGGAGGGAAGGGAAGCCCCAGACACGAACGCTTACGTAAGCCTTGGCGAAACGTTAGCCTTGGCGAAACGTTAGCCAGTTTAAATTCAAACACGGCATTTTCATGTCTTACCCTTTTGTGCTATGGTTACTCAATAACCCTTTTTTAAAATTTAGATATCAATGAATGTGCTTCCAATCCATGTGTTAACAGCGTGACCTGCATAGATCTTCATCTCAACTTCAGCTGCATATGTCAAATGGGATTCACAGGGAATAATTGTTCTCAAAGTAAGTTTACCGGTTAAAAAGGCTCCCTGTTTTAATACGTCTTATATTTTGACACTGCTACGGCAATAAATTCCTTACGTAAAGAAAAACAGTGAGAGCATTACTTAAAAACTACTTATAATATTATGTTGTCATACATGTACGCAGCTAAAAAGCTGATGTAGACCTGCAAAAAAAATATTTCCTACTTAAAGATTCAAATAATACGATATAATACAATAATATCCCATGCAGATTTTATAATTCTATGATTCTAGTGTATGATAAATAAGTAAATAACTAAACACATAACGGCTTGGAAACTAAAATTTCGAGGACGTTTTTGGACTTTTTACATTTAGGGCATGAATTTTTCGTCATTTCAGGCCATGGAACCTAAAAATGAGCCTAGCTAGCTGTAAAAAGGGGCAATACGGAGGCAATACGTCCTAGCCGGCATGATCACATGCTGTTTACGGAAAATTCCCTCATCCATGTCAGGAAATTCTGTATTTTAAAGCCTCCCCTAGGGCATGACTCAGCAATTGAGGACATTTCTGCTATGTTTTCATTGTTGGTTAGCATGCAAGGATTTTTCGCATGCCTATCGTCAATGATTTGCTCACTGGTAATAGAGGGGGTGGCCCCAGAGTGGTTTTGCATTGAAATTGGCATGCAACAGAATTTCGCATGCCCTGTAAGCATAATTTGAGGTTCTGTGACCTTCTCACCCAGGCCGCGAGAAGCCTAGGTTCTAGTAATAAGTAATTCATACCCAGCAAAATCTCCGGCATGCCGGGCATGCCAAATTTTCTGACATGCCCGGCATGCTAAATTCTCTGGAATGCCGGGCGTGCCATAATCTGGGTCATGCCGGGCATGCCAAAATCGGTCTCTGGCATGCTCTCAACGCACAGGTTATAATTCCTTGAATCTACAGATATTTTAAGCCTGGCTAAAAACAAAAAAAAAACTAAACAGATCACAGTGCTTATCTTTTGATGTACGGTTACACGATGACGTCATTGCTATTCCTTTCATTTTCATAGATTTGGTTGTCCCAGAGAACTTTAAATAACAAAAGCTCTAATTTTCACAAGCAAGTAAAACCCTGAGGGATTCGTCCGTAGTAATAAAACAGCGTCATCGTGGAGATGACCTGTTGGGGGATTGTAAAAACTCCTCACCCCTTTTAATGAGTCTTTAATAGGATTCCCATTTCACATTGCGAATAAAATGGAATTGACTGAAATCAGTAAAAAGAGAGACAGAGACTATTTTCATTGTATAATAAAATGCATCTATGTTCCATGAAAGCTTTTAAAAATACAAGGTTATAGAATATCTTTCAAAGTTCATTACAAACTGAGCTAAGCCCCAAAATCACTGTTCATTATTCAGTAAATTATGATGTTTGACAATGCAATGTGCTTGAATATAAAGTTGCAATTACAAATCTCTCTAACGCAATTTTCCCTACGTTAGAAAAGCTGTTAGAAAGTCTGAGTTCCTCTTTCTTGTTTTGTAGGCTTGCCAGGGATTAATGTTTTTGTGTCATTACCAGTGTCTGTGTTCTTTGTTCATAACTCAAAGTAAGTCAGTAATAACTGACAGTATCAAAGAATATTGCTCTCTAGAAAAGTAATTATCTCCTCGTCATGTCTGGAAGTTACCTGTAACAAAAAAGAAATGGAATGTTAACACATGCAAGGGCAATATGAAAAAAAGAAATAGAACATCTAGACTCAGCTTCTCTTAACATATTTTCATACTGGCTTGTTGAGTCTGTTAAAGGTCGCAACTAATTGTCTGAGGCTAATTTCACAAGAGTGTGCAATTGAGATAAATGCATGGTAAATAAAGTGAAAGAAACGTGGTTTCACATTAGCCAATTTACATTGCGCTGTTCGATGATGTTTACACGCTTTTCTACTGCGAAATAAACCTTTGCATTTGGATTTGCAAGTCAAGATTATACCGAGTTTGACTGACACTTGTTGAACAACAGTTTCATTTTTAAGCAGGTAAGGTGTAGACCCATATAAAGCCGGAATATGTAAAGGAAACTCAGCGAAAACTTTTTCGCATCTTTTTGTGGCGATATTCTCTCACGGCCCGTCAACTGATTAGGGGTTGCGAAGAAAAAGTAAATTAGGACCAAAGGTTAAAGCCTGTCCGGTTACATCATTTCGTATGTTACCTAGTGTTCTAATAAATAGGTCATAAAATAGGATTTAACGAGTACGAATTTTTTTCTCAATCGGTGTATAAAAAAGTGAGGCTATCAAATGAGAAGTTTATAGAGTATCAAAATTATTAAATTAAAAGCTCATATAATTAGGAAAATTCCTATACGAAAATAATGCTAGTGACATTAAATTGATCAGATAAAATTCTCAGAAAATATGTCGAATAAAAGCCTCATTGTTTGCTTTTGTTTTTGCGTAAAGGTAAATTTTTCGGCCCACAAAGCAAAGTTGAAAAAGCGACTAAATCTTAGTTTTTTACATTGAACATGTTTATTAGCTTAGTTTTCGTCCGTTTTAAAAGCTTTATAACCCAATCATAATTTAATCATAAAATAGTACAAAATCATTTCAAAAACCATGTTCATTGAAAGTAGAGCCGGCAAACGTGAACATTTTGTAATTCAAAAGTCGGACCCAGCCAGATTGTTTAAGCTTAGAATTATTTGCATTTTAGCGTCCTATAAATTTACCAGAATCGCCTCTCAGAGGCTTACTGTAGCCATAGTTATTAGAGGAGACTGGTTATAAAAAGCGGCAAACATCAATGATAAAAACAACAGTGCTGCAGTTTATGTTCAAAGCACCGTGAAAGTGCACAATCTTTTGTTTTCTGTTGGCAAATTGTTACGGAATAAATTAATGCAACGTTTTTATTGGTCAATACAATCAAAATGATAGGAATTCTTTTGAACGTTGTGCACTTTCAGGTCCACAAAAACATATAACAAAGGAGTCTGACGGGTTTCATAACCATTCCACTCAATTAACTATGCTGTAGCAAAGCATTTTGTAGTACACTCGTAGACAAGCAATGTAAGCCTTAAGTCTTTGCATGGATGAGATGTCCAAAAGAAAAATTAGTTTTGTGGACCTAAACGCACATTCACAGATTGCTTATATTGAGTTGTTTACAACTTTGCACTGACACACGCGGCATGTTCATTTTTTTAAAGCGAAATCCAAATCTGATTTTGGCATTTGATTTACGGATATTTTATTTTGTCTCCAAAAGTGATTGTAATATCCGTTTGATTGTCTTTCAAACAACAGTCAAACTATGCAGCAAAAATAAGTAACTTTACCAGTACAGTGAAAAAAATATGACCGTAGGTGCCAAAAATAATTATACTCGAGCTATAAAATTAGATCTGACTTTTTTTAGCTTTGTTTTCTTATTATTGAAGTTTTCTCTAGTCTTCTTAGCAGCAGAAGAAGATTACAAGACATACAAACAGAAACAATCCGAAGTGAACGAGATGACAACCACTTTTGCCGGAGTTCTTAGGCATGCTCAACAGCAAGATAAACTGAATGCCTAAAGGCTAATTCACGGGATTTGTTCAATATTCAGGCTTTTTCTTTACCAAATTAATACTAAATTTGTACTTACAGTCTCTCGCAGAATCCATTTCTTGTTCAGCATTCACCAACATCTCAACCATGCACCGCAGAAAAAAAAGACAAACAAGTGCGAAGAGACATGACGACATCGTGACGCCACAACTGCTACGCTACAACAAACTAGATTCATCGTCATCCGAAAACACTTCTGCGGAAATTCGGCCGATTTCGTGCGTGCTCGGGGTATCTTCGGATGACGCAGATGACGTTGCTCAAAGGACTATCGTCAGCAAGGACTAAAACAGTTTGCGAGATTCGCATAGCCGACAAGGAGCGCACTGAAAAACTAAGCAAAATCTCTCTGAGAAGGCAGTCCAAATTCACCAAATCAGAACGTCTTTGCAGTATTAACGTCGTACTCTCGTACTGACTTGAACGACCTGGTAAGCTTAATTTTCACCAGTCATTTAATGCTGTTGGCCGGGAAACATTCCGACGCCATAAAACTTAAGCATGGATAAGTTCATACTGAGAAGATTTGTTATCTTATTGTTTAATTAAGACGCTTTTCCCCGATCAAATTTAAATCTGGACCCAGAAATGTCAGTATCGGTTTGAAATAAAAGGATTGATCTTTGATTGCAAGTTAAGTATTCTATTTTACGCATGAATAATGTTGTTTTGTTGTGCTTTTTATTTATAAATCCAGGCTTCTGTCTTCAGTTTTGCCAGTCGATCCCGTGACACACATTATGACAAAACATGACTTTTTTTGTTATAATCTGCATTTATTGCCAGGCATGAAACCTGTAACTTTAAGCTCCCTAAGATATATTTGGCGATTATATGTGATTCTCAGGATATGATGCTGACGCGAACATCAAAATCAGTCTCGCTGGGCATGCCAATTTCTTGCCTGGCATGCCGGGCATGCCAAACCAAGTGGCTTCACCATTGGCATGCCCGGCATGCCAAACCAGAGGAGCAAAAACTTGGAATGAATTATCAACCCGGTGAGAGATCTGGGACCTAAGGTTGGCTGGGTCAATTTTGGGCTGCGAGGGCATGAACCCATTTTTTCCATGCCTATGAGATGTTATTTCTAAGTACCAATGTTCCCTTGAATTTTGTCATGCCTAAATATATAAAATTTTCCCTCTCTCATTAATCCTTAGACTGGATGCGATTTTTACGCTCGCTAGGCATGCTCAACTGAAAATCATGCCCATACCCTTATTCAAAACAAAATGCTATCAAATTTTAGTTTCCAAGCCGTTACATCATTGGAACATAATAGGGTACAGCCTAAAAGTATAAAAAAATTTTGAATCTTTTTTGTTGATAATGACAGCAGCCTCTTCCTGGAAGTTGGTGTTATTAATAATGTTCCGGGCCTTTTTCAGGCTAAGTTTGAAGGTCTGTGCATTTTCGTTGGGGAGTCAGACTGTTCCAGATTAGTGGTCCTCTATACCTTAAACTATTTCTATCTACTCATATTTACATCGGACGATTTAAAAAATTGAAACCTTCTGCGCATGTCGTATCCATTGTCCTCCTTCTTCTTAAAAAGATTGTTGGTCTCAGTTTCGATATTACCATAGTATACTCGATGCATAAGATCAGGTTAATAACCTTCTTTTATATATGTAGGAAAATGTTGCCAGTTGGCCCTAGCTCGACTTTGCTTGTTATTTAACTCTGGTAGTAGATTAAATATGGTTCTGGCTGCTCTAGCATTCCCTCTGTTTTATCAATTAATAAGGCTGGGGAGCAATTTCTGTTCCCCAGACAGAGATAGAATAGACTACACAGGGAATAACTGTCGTAAAGTAAATGTCTTCTCTGACCTTCCTGGGAAGATAACTCATTCTTTTAATGGAACCAGCCTTTTAAGAAAAATATTTGCATGAACTAGATATCTGTGCAGACCATGACAGATTCTAATAAAGCGCTTTTACAGCAAAAAGGTCTTTTTATTTGGAAGCCTATATAATCTACACAGTGTTTTTATAGCTCAATATAAACATTTTAATCGGTCTGGAAAGCAGCTTTCTATTACATTGTGCGACATATTTGACTGTAATATTTAACTTTTGTACTAGTGATATAAAGAGACACTTTTTCTTATCCCCAAATCATGGGTTCTTTTTCTTAGCACATCGGGTACGAGTTTTTAAGAAGTTCAGGGAATTACACTAGTATGTTCCTCTCTCGTAATTAACATCTCCTCTCTTCCGGTTAAACACAGGTACTTCTATGTGTCAAGAAAAAACCTATACAATATTGTAAACAGAACAAGAGATATACAGCTAACTGAGTGGGTGAATGTATGAATGTCTTAGTTAAGCTTAGTTACATATGAAGTGCTGAAATTGTTTTCATGTCCCTCTACAGATATAGATGATTGTTCTAATGGGCCATGTGAAAACGGAGGTACCTGCATTGATCTGTTCAACGACTTTAACTGTACATGCCCACTGGGATTCACCGGAAGAAACTGTAGTATTAGTAAGTGCTCCTTACTGTCCAAAAATTGAAGCTGTCAGTATGGTTCTCAGGACGCCAGAGACTATATCATGTGCTTTTTCTAGTTTACATGTTTGAATCTGTTCGCCCAGCAGCACTAGTTGCACCCGTTGCACGCGAGAAAAAAGAATGGTGCCGATTTATCGAGTTCTCTATCTGGATCTCGAGTGACAAGTCCGACTACAACGGAGGCTAATAATATGACCCTTCGCTAGATTACTTGACAGGGCAACTGATCGAAGCTTTTTATTTTATTTATCTTCTTAAAGGATAGTGAGTTGACAATGTCTGATACATAATAAGCAAGACTTTAAAGAAACGGTTCTGTTTTGGTGCAAAAGGTACTATTTTTATCTTCATCTATTTATTTTTTTGCTCATTATTTTATGTCTGTTTTCATAGATATCAACGATTGTACTCATAGCCCCTGCCAGAATGGTGGAAGTTGTAATGATTTGATTAATGACTACAACTGCACTTGCGTCCCTGGATACACTGGCAAAAACTGCTCTAAAGGCAAGAATGACTTTCCTTTCAATTAACAATACCTTTTACGATGAAGTGTTAAATAGAGTAACAATTCCAAACAAATAACGAGTGGAGGAAGTTTAGATTTCCGAACAACCCCATTTATTTATTATGCTGGGGCGTCTTTGATACAATTTAACACAAACATGATGTACAGTAGTTTTTATTCTCTCCCTAAGGGATTTTCAGAGTTAATTTACAATTAATGATATAATTTACATATTATTAGAAACTGAATCATAGGATAATGCAATTCTAGAACTCTGATCGGCGTAGCCATCATGGAATACGAGCCATTATACCATGCTCTCAAAATATGGTAATTATACGAGTCTGCTCAAAATTAAAAACAAGCTGAAAATCGATTGTTTTTAAATGTCATATAAAGTCGGGAAGAATTCTGCATATTTTGTGGGCGTTTGTTCCACTCGCGCCTGTTGGATCTGAGATGATTGTAGCCAACTCGGCGCTACGCGCCTCGTTGGCTAATCGATCATCTCATATCCAACGCGCAGTCGTGGAATAATTGTCAATTATACATCTAGCCGAATTTAGCAAAATCGCATCAGCTGGCAACTCTAGGCCACACAGCTTAACTTGACTTAAATAAAGGGGCTAATGGCCAATATTTTAAAGAAATTGCGCTCTTACTCGTAAGCCCTCTATGGTGACTGTCTTCTTGGTCCCTGACTAGCAAAGAAATATTCAAGTCTATCAAAAAGACACTCTCAACTTGACCATCTCTGGCTGCTTTAAGGCCCACGAGATCGAGGCAGCTCTAGCTAAGACTAAAACTAGCCCTAAGCAGAGAATTCAAGGCCTCATCATCCCCTGTCCTGACACAGCCTTGCAGCCAAGTACATCGGTGAGGGGAATCCTTTTATTGGCAAATCGGCCAACATCATCACTGAACTGATTCTCGAGAGAGATTAACTGACCATGCGACGCTTTTGAAGAACCTCCCCCGCCGCGGAGGATTGACATGGAGGCCCCTTCACATCCCATGGCAAGTTAGCTTAGGGACTGACCTTAACGATGGGACAAATTAAGAAAGAAAATTCTCACCGCAGGCTGTGCGAATAATCTGGGCCTTTTTCAGGCACGTTTTATATATATACGTATTCCGCAACAGTATTCAAAGTTATCTTAAAAAAAAGTCAAAATTAGACTTATAGTTTGGTACATAATTCACTTTAACATTGTGCTTAAAACTGGCGGAGGATTGACTGTTTCTTGTGTTGGCACTGAGAGAATTCCATATGTTGACTGAGCAAAATTGAAAATAGCGTTGAGTGGTGGTTGTTTTACAGTGGAAAGATCTAAATTAACACTTTGTCTAGTATTATAACAATGCACATCTGATCTCTTGCTAATTTAACTACTTAAATACGACGGGGCATAGCCGTTTACAATTTTGTACATTTGCATGTACACCGCGCACCAGCAGTTGATCTTTTTAAAGAAAGGAAAGGCATCCTAATTCCTAAAGGAACGGTGGGATATGGTCAAACTACTTACGAGTTGTAACTTCTGTATGTTCTGTTTGAAAGTGCTTGCCCAGACCGTTGAATAGTATAGAAACTTACTGAAGACAAGATGAGTTAAAATAGCTAAAAGTAGGGGTTTAGAAAATAGGTGCTTGACCTAAACGTACGTAGAAGGGGCGAAGTCAGATCATTAGTATAATGGCCAAGACTTTGACTGAGGGTACAGAAATAAGATCCTGACTAAGGAGAGTTATAGTAACGCCCTTTACTCTATTCAGGAGCTACCTTGTTCCAAACAAAATTAGTTCAGTTTTACTTGAGTTGATCATCAACTGCTTCGAGCAACTCCGACCAGCAATATGGCGAAGGTCTTTTATGATTTTGGCAAGACAGGAATCGGTATCCTCTGAAGAAAAGGAAAGATAAACCTTTGTGTCGTCAGCATAGGAATTGATACTTTGAGACTTGACTGCGGAAGGTAGATTGTTCATATAAAAACCAAACAATATGGGTCCTATGATGGATCCCTGGGGTACTCCCTGTGTGAATGTAAGTTCTTCAGATCGTTAAGCGCCAAGTAGAGTGGACTGCTTGCGATTGGTAAGGTAGCTTTTAAACCATCCAAGGAACTGATTTGATGCACCCAGATTACGCAGTTTGAAGAGACGTGTTTTTATATGCAAATGCTTTGATAAGGTCTATCAGGACTTTATTTCTTCCATGGCCCTGAATATGTGATTAGTAATAAGCAGGCTTAAGGTTTCTGCAGAGTGATACTTGCAATTCCCGCTTTGGTGTTGAGTAAGCCTATTACGCTGAGACAAATACTTGTCAAACTGAGTTAGAGCAATGGGTTAGAGCAATGTAGCTGACATGGGGATAAGTAAAGAAAATTGTAACAGTTCAAAATCGATCGCTCTTCAGTTACTGTACTCAGTCAGGGTATATAAAAGCCTTTGAGGCTGCTTGCTACCCGTGAATTGAGAGTGTATTACTAACATGAGAAGTGTAATTGGTATCTGTTTTCTAATGTCTCACTTAGCAGCCAGTGAAGTAATAACAACACTGTCATGTATTCTTTTTAGAATCCTACCTGTGGTATCTGTTTCCAACTGGAGCGAACCTTCTTTATGGCTATAATCCGGCGAACAATCAGTCATTTTACAGCAAGCTTTTACCATCTGGCGCCACAGTCAGCCGCAAGGACGGGTTTCGTGGACTTTGTATACCATCAGCAACAGAAGTTATTCTTGGTGAATTTGCCGACCAGTGTTTGAAACAAACTTGCGACGAATTTACTATTTCATTTCTGGCTTATATTAATGGAACAGTGGCCAGAGATGAAGAGGTGCAAATATTATATTCCACTCCTGTGAGCCAAGGACAATACCATTTACAGTTTACTGTCACAAAGACTGTTTCACGGTTGCAAGGCCAAGCATTCATTGTGGGCGGCAATTCTACAAATCTTCTTGAAAGAAAAGGAACATATCCAGGCGTGGACAGATGGGTCCATGTTGCCATTGTTTACTCAAAATCCCTTCATCAACTTGACTTGTATTTTGACAGTGTAAGGGTAGCAGATCCGAACTCGACTATAAATTGGGATAACAGTGGAGAAAGCGTTAATATTTCACTAGCTCACAGTGGAAATGTGAGAGATATATGTGTGAGTTACTTTCAGATAATAAGAAACCTGTTAACTGAGCTGGAAATAAAACAGTTGGAAGAAGAATGTCGACAACAAGGTAAGATTGTAAGAAATTGATAGACTGAAGGTCCCGGGCCACGGAAGCTGTTTTACCCATTTAAGATGGAAGTTTTCAGTTACAAAAGGGACAACAACCACCACCGTGACCACCAACAACAAATAGACTGGCTAGGGGATTAGATACGTGGTTAACAATTCTAAAAATAATGATTTTAAAATATGTCTTCGGGGCCAGTAAAATTAATTACGTGTCGCAGCTACGTAACATTTAGTGCCTACAGACTACATGAAGAATAACATATTTTAGTGTCCTTGGCCAAAATAACGGTGAAATTGAGAGTGCTTGTATGCAGCTTCCGATAGAGCCTGGAGGTTTCTGTGGCTAGAGAGCCCAAACAAATGAAAGCAGGCTACTTAACCGCAACAAACAGAAGAATGCATGTATGTTATACGATACCGCTTCGTTCTTGACTATGTAAATGTGCCTACTATGCGCATTGTAAAAAGGTTGTGCGCTAGCATGTTCCGTTTGTACACAAGTGACGCTCTACGACATTTGCACTTAAAGAACCTTTATCCATTGCTTGCTCTTCATTCCTTAGCCTTCCTAAAACTGCCCGTTCAATTGTCATGAACAATATGTGAAAAGCCCTTATCGCAAATAAATTATATAGAAAATATACCTTCCACCAGTGAATGAAAGTACGTTTATCTTAACGTCTATTTGCAAAATGCTGGAGGTGTACTTACTTACAGAACCCGATTAATCCATTTTTTTGCAATGATGGGTGGGTAGCGGAAAAAAATGACGAGAACATTTCCAGCTTCCTTGCTTCAATCCCAGGCAGCAAGCTAAACCGCTTAAATCTTCTTTTACTTCTAATTGCTCTTCTTTTGATTTGTTTTGCTATCTTTTATAGCGGCTAATCCTTCCGCCGTGGAAGCAAAATTTGCCCAGAACAATACAGTGGTTGAAGAAGAAGCTGGAGCGGTTGTTGTTCCTGTAATTCGTAACGGAAACATCTTTTTAGCGTCAGTTTTACAGTAAGTCAACTTATGAAACATTTACTTTCTAGAAATATATATTTTTGCATTGCAACCATTGGACGAGACTGAGTGAAATAACGAGATTTATCAGACGGGAATAGACCACTATTATTGATTGTTATTCATTCAAAATGTTTTTCCGTCACTGAGTGCCTCCAATCCCCAGAGCAACCTCTTCTCATAACCAGCTCGCGTTGACCAAATTTAGAAGACGTTTCTGGTATCCAGTAAAGTGACGTCATTAACAATGGCTATCCACCAAAGAAAGGACGGCAGCTGAGGAGCCTGGGGGACGAAGTTGTGTTAGCTAGTTGTTTTGGTAGGGCTGGAGAAAATGGCGGTAGATTTCACACGTTTTTACGAAGAAGAAATTGTCGGACTTTTTGCTTATAAAACTACCAATAACAAAGTGAGCCGAAGAAGAGAGCAACAGAAGATTGACGCCGATCCCCGAGGTGGTCTTTACACGTTTTATCCGTGTTAAGCGGACGATAGGAAGTGTTTGACGATCCAGACTCAGTCAGACGAATTTAAATGTGACAGACGTGAGACACTTAACTAACTTAACTCACTCAGTTGTGTTCGTTGCATGATAAATTCGAGGTGTGGCGTTGGCCTTAAAGAACTATTTATATAATTTGACGTTATCTAAATCCTACCGTTTTATCCAAGAATATTGCTGTAAACCTTAATAACAAGACAGTAAGAAAAAGAGTGACTTGAGGCTTCCTGACGTTTTCAGACGGACAAGCTGTCCTTCTTCAGGGAATTAAACAAAAATCTTACCTTTTTTGTTCACCCTAATTGTAATGCATTTATTTAGATTTAATTCCAGCTACGGCGATGCTGAAATAAATGTGGATTTTGGTCATCGGTTAAATCAGGACATTATCTTTAAGCCTGGAGAGGTGTATGCTGGTATCCCTGTCAACATTGTAAATGATTCTTTACCTGAAAACAACGAGGCTTTTCATCTCACACTTACTACGTCAGACGATGTCACTACAATAACCACTGGCTTCACGACTGTTGTTATTCAAGATAATGGTATGTGTAGAAATAACTAGTTATGAAGGAAAACGTGTCAAAGATACTCATATACAGTATGAAATCTTGAGGTTACAAAAAGGTTTCAAAAAGCTCAGTGGCGTCACAATACAGCAAAATACAATGCGGAAGACTTTATTGTAACAAGCACGTGACAGTTTATATTGACTTACTGCCCTGTCGCCCTCAATAAAATAAACAAAAGATATGAAAAAATATTATAAAAGGAGCACAAAGCTATTTTTTTCTCTTCAAAACACGCAAATTTGCCTCCAAAATTACGTGTCTGCCTATCGCGGGGACAAATTGACAAGTATGACGTAGAATGATTTGCAAGGCTGGAGAATAAATTAACAACATGGCGGCAAATAGAAGGATGATTATTTTTTATAATTCCCCAATGATCTTCAAAATCTTCATTTACTTTGCTATACCTTCGTTACAGTCAGATACATCGCTTAATAACTTAAAGCACAAAGCAATGACCGGAATCGGAAGAGAAGCCTGTGCAAATCACCTAACGTCACATGACGTCATCAGCCTTTCTTTGATCTTTACTCATTCATAGCGACATTTCTGAGGAGGAAAAAGAGGTTTTTGGAGTTCCAAAATTCAAGAAAATTTTTTGAGACACATTTCGAAAGTTTAGAGTTGTTAATTAAACTTCACTAAGGACCAAAATTAGTACCGTTTCATGTACACTTAAAGCTCTCCAGCAAATAGAGCTAGGCTTTTGGCATTAGGAGCCGGTTTTCAATGTTAATGTTTTAGTAAACCCCAAGAGGAGACATATCTATCAATCAATTTGAAGCAGCAAATGAAAAAATATAAAGAGATATGTCCCACTTAAAATCAACCAATCAGTGAAAAATCATGTTAATCAGTCAATCCTTCCTCAAAGGCACCGCAGCGAAGTGGGCATCGCCTGAAGAAGCACACGACGCATGCCGGGTATCGGTCTCAAGAATGAAAGATCAGACTTCGAAATCACTTTACGAACAGAGTTAAATCTTATTTGATTTAACTAAAAGAATTCAATCAGCCATTAACAATTTTTTTCAGATATCGATGAATGCGCTCTAGTGCCATGCCAGAATGGTGCTACTTGCACAGATCTGCCGCTGAATTACAGCTGTACATGTGTCTTGGGTTTCACGGGAAGGAACTGCAGCATCAGTGAGTAAAGATCGTTGTTTTATGAAAAATCATTCTTTCGTTTCTGGCTCAATACGTTTTCTAAAGTAAACTGCAGCATCTTTGTTTGCAATCAGTTTTTATTGGTTTCGGCCGGCTCTCATAGTATTGTGTTGTTAGGTAGTTTAATGATTGTTTTAAAACTATTATCATGAGGATTCTTGCTGATAGTTTGTTTGTTCCCGAGTTTTCGCTCGTGCTTAGGGTCTCTTTATGTTCAGGTTTGTAGATCAAGGCTTATCCGTATTTGTGTTAACAGGTTTTTGAGTGTTACTACCTTTTACTGGGTTTGCCGACATGAGTGTCATTTATCTTGTGTTTTAATGAAGTTTGATTGTCAGGCCTTGAAGTGGGTACGTTAAGGATTATAGCTGACCTGGATTGGTACTCGATGTAGGTGACCTACATCTACTTCCTCTTTGGTAGAGCCTTGTGGGTTTAGTTATGAAGGTTTTACTGTTTTTCTAGTTCTTGACTTATAACCTCATGAGTTTGCAGCCTCGTTCCCAGGGTTCTCTCCTACCTGTCCCTCGACGGGTAGGAGAGACAACCTGCGAACGAGGTTGATGAGTTTGTTTTCCCACTTTGGTGATCAACAGGCAATTCGCTAAAGTTACTAGGGAAGGCGTTCGTAACAGTTTGGAGGTCACCAAGCCTGGTTATGAAAGACCTGACCACGTTCCCACATTTTATTTATTTAAGCCAATGAGAGCGCCAATATTTGGTGCAGTTAAACGTAGTTGAGCCGTTGAAGTTGTAGAAGAGCGCGAGTGTTTTGCTGATAGTCATTTTTAAAGAAGAAGAAAAGGATCCAAGCTGTGTAAGAGTGCTCTAACTAGTGAGTGGCTTACCCGGGCAAAGAACCCTTTTACAATTGTTTGGAAAATGGCTCCGAAGGGAAAGTTTAAGATATTTAACTAGATAACGTTTGTAAAAGATTCAAGCTGACTTAAAAAACCTTTTTATCTACAGTTTATATACAGTTAATGTCTATACAAACTTTACAAAGTTTGTCTTTTCCCGTTAACAGACATTGACGACTGCGTAGGAAACCCATGCCAAAAGAATGGTTCATGTGTTGACCTTGTGCACGATTACCGCTGCAGCTGTTCTACAGGTTACACTGGAAAGAATTGTAGTGTTGGTAAGGAACTTGACCTAATCAAAACATTTTATACAAGTAATGTCTCAAGAAAAAGAAAGGAAGTATCAGATGAAATATTTTTCTGAAACTTAAAATATCGATGTCACTCTTTTGGCGTTGACAAAGAATCGAGTTGTGAACACGTGACAGATAAGTAGTGGATATTTTGTTTAACAAGGTGCCCCACCCCCCACTCCGAGTAAATATATTTGAAAACAACCACAAAATCATTAAGCGCAAATCTTAGTGTGTTTGCTATTCATTTGCTTTGCAGAAATTAACGAATGTGATTTCTCTCCGTGTATGCACGGTGGCATGTGTAAGGATCTGTTGGCTGATTACAACTGTACTTGCGCTCCCGGTTACACAGGAAAGAATTGTAGTGTCGGTAAGGGCTCTTGTGATTCAGATATAAGGAATATAAAATCATATTATGAATGGCTATTTTGACTGTGACTCAATTCTGTTATACTGAATTTATTTGTAATTAAAATAAATACCGGCTAATAATCCTCTTTTTGAGGGGTTGCTGTATTGGTAAATAATGAATAAATAAATGTTTAATGCCACTCTTTCTTAGTGAGCAAATAACGAACTTAAATTTGCATGTAAAAAAACACACGGACTTCTCAAATACCTCTCAAACAATGATAGAAGCATGGTCCACCGGCGTTGAGTGATATGAAAGGCTACTACTCCATTGGGACACGTTATGGGTAAAGGCTTTCCTCTTTTCGCTTCAGATATTGATGAATGTAGCGTCTCACCTTGCAAAAACCGTGGCCAGTGCACTGATAAAGTGAACGACTATTCTTGCAAGTGTTCAGAAGGTTTTGAAGGAAAAGACTGTTCAACTGGTAAGTTTCATCTTGGCTTTTTAGAGTTAGCGTAGCTTTCTCTTTCCTCTTTGGATTTGCCAAACCTCTCAGTCAATGTCAAATGTGGGAACAAATACTAGACAGCTGTGGCCTAAACCCCTTTCCAGATACATGTGAAAAAGCTGAAAGTTTGGTCCGTTAATATAACCGATGTTAGGATGTTATCACACTCTATTCGCGAGCGTCGGACAAGGAATGAAATCTCGAGTTCCCGACAAGAGGTGAGTCCTTATCATTCTAGACAAAGGGTAAGTCGGGCGCTCTATTCTCCAAGCTTCGGAAAGATGCACGGACAGCAGTCAATCACTAGGCTACTGCTCATATAAAGTATCATGTTTGACATAGCAACTTTAACAATACTCTGATAATTAAGTACCGATCATTCCATGTCAACGAAGAAATTGCACTTCTCTTTTTCGCACTAAAAATGCATCCTTATGTTTTCTTTGCATGTTGTACTAAATTATACGAATTCCTTTTTCACTTTCAGCCTCAGCTGCAACTGGAGATAATGAGAAAAGTATGTCACGGAGCTGTAGGACCATGTAGAGTGTTTCTAGTATCCCCTATCCATTTACATCGAGTCTACAAAAGTTAACCCCCCCCCCTCTAGTACGAGTCGCTTAAAGTTTAGCTTATGACATCCTCTAATAGTGCCGCTTTTATAAGCCCTTTAAAAGTGCCACTTAAGGGCGGGCCTGTTTTCATGGAGTTGGGGAATCTCAGGTAGGTGAGGTTATCCGCCTGTCCATATAATCGCTCCTTTTTATTTGATCACGTTTACATGATAGGTGAAGTGATCATATGAGAAATTATATGGACAGCCAGGTTAGCCCACCTAATCGGGTTACCTCACCTGCCTGGGGTGCCCCTTTAAAGTGCAACTTCTAAGACCTCTTCAGAAAGTGTCACTTGCAAGGCCCATTAAAAGTAATTAAAGTAATATGTGATCTTCTCATTCACGGCTTCGATTATTACTGGACATGTATAAGAATCCGACAGTGTGAAACAGCTTGGAAGATATCATGTCTTTTCACAGACTTGTCAGTTTTTAATGTATTTATTACCTGGGCGCACACGTGGATGACGTGGATAGTAAAGAATTATCAGAGAGCTTAAGCAAAAACGTTCAGTTAAGCGACGCACGTCAAACGGAAGTGAGCATTTTGAATTCTTGGGCGGTGGTTTTTACTCAAATTTCACTCGCAAATCTTCTCTTTAGGAGTAAAGACACTTAGCGTAGCATCAAGGTATGTTAAGAGAAATGGCTTCACCTCCGGTTGACATGCGTCGCTCAAAAACACCTGTACTTAAGCTTCCTAAAGTTTTGGTTGGCAATAGACAGAATTCGTATTCCCCGACAGTCCTGGGATAAGTGGGCCTTGATCATGAATGCGAGGCTCATGCAGGGACCCTCTCGCCAAGAGGACAAACAAATATGAAAAAAACTGCGGCTGAGTTTGCCGAATTTAAGGAAAATTTTTAACATTGTAAAGTTCCGAAGGGCTTACATACTTGAGAGATCATTATTTTAAACGACAAAAGGAAGAACTGCTCATTATTACCAAGAAAAACAGCGATCCTAACCATAATTATATTGATGAGAAGAGTGCTTGGTGAGCGAGTTTATGATTTAATATAAACAGAGATGTTCTTAAAATCCCCGAAGCCATTTTAATTGTAATTTTCAGTGTCCTTTAAACTTTTTGAAGGATACCTTTATTGAAATGGACGTAATTATCGAAAGCCTGCTATAAAGTTAACGGTGGTGTTATCTCACCTACTTTGCAGTTGAAATTTTCTAACAGAGCGGCTGCAAAATCTTGAATTTGTAATTGAAGTTAAACCGGTTTGAACAAAGATGACTAGGTAAAGTTTATTTTTAAATTTAAGTTACATTATCTTCGATAACAACTGTGCGAGAGTTCAAAAAGTGCACGCAGTTGAACACAGAATTTGGTACAAACGATAATACTGAGCAGTTTAAACTCCACACTACAGATACACACAAGAGAAAAAGAATAAGAATAAGAATAAAATTTTATAAAAAGGATTCGAGTATTGACATTTTGACACAATATACCATTTTCTTGATTACTCCTTGTTTCTTCTTTTAGCTTCGTGGCTTTTTAACTTGTGCTGTTAGTACGACCAGCTCTTCCCACTGTTTTGCTTTTTGAAACAGATATCCCTTTAGCTTACCCGGAAGGTTTCAGCTTTTAATTCTTGCAGTTTGTTGCTGATTTCTATCGTTTTGCAGCGATTCAGCAGCGACTAACCAATGTTTGTTTGTGTTTTTGCTAAAACGTTCCCCGCTTTAGCCTCGCAATCATGCTGTGAAGTCTCTCGTCTCAGGGCCGTCGGGGAATACGAATATCGTCTATTCAGTCAGTTACTACAGAGATGAGTCTACCAACAGTCTATCAAAAAAACAGCTAGTGGCCTAAAGCTCAACTTTAAAGCAATTCTTCTTCCAGAACTGTTACGCATTCTCTTCTGGGCTTGTATTGGAGCATTGGCTGTTTCCTTACTGGCATTAATCATTGCTGTGTTGTATTTCCATCACAAGTAAGTACCCGGATTACAAAAGGACGACTCTTGTTTTACAGTCTTTTGTATAGGTATGAGTGGTTGTTTGCGCTGATTTACAGTTTGCCAAAGCGTACCAAAACAGTTACGGAAATTTTTTTGGTAGTTTTTTAAATATCAGTGTCAGGAAAGTTAAATATTTTCTGCTGGCGCAATTTTCATCCCTACTCAGCACTCATTTCCCCTTTAGCTTTTCCTAGAATGTAGAAAGACACCATGGAACAAAGCTGAGACACCACTACAGGAAAACTTCGCCCAGTGAGACTAGAGCTCCTTACTATGCTTCTTTTCAGTCGCAAAACAATTAGGTAAATAGGTACTGTAGAGTATTTTGAAATGAAACAATTGATGAAATCTTTTTACAGGTTGAAAGGAGCAGGTAACGCCGGGAAGGCACGAACCACAAGAAATGGATATACTTCGTACGATGGCGTCTCTACATTATAGAAATTCTAGAACGAAGGCGAGTTCTGGATGATGCTAAAGATTTTCTCTGCAAGTTTAGGTGTATATGCAAACGAGCAAGTAAACACGAGACGTGACGTCATACTGTCCCTAGGACTGAATCACTAATTTCCTTGGAGCCATCTTTCCCCTGACTTTTTTAATGTTTTCTTTCCTTTTCTTTTATTTTGTTGTTGGTTTTTTTTTTTTGCGTTACTTGTAAAAAGGACAATAAAGATGTACTATTTTGATAAAACGATAAAACGTTTGTCATCGTGTAAACTGATGAGTGTATACAGCAAAATACAAGAGTATAAAAAACTTTAGTGATTCACTTGAGCATAGTGACTATTTCTCAAAATTCGTTTGGACCACATCGCAGAGAAGCGCGAGCTCGAATCCTGGCAATCCAGTTTCTGTGCTTTTTCTCTTTCTTTGCCCTCCTACTTTTAGCATTTTTTTTTTCGTTACCTTTACCTTTATTAAGTTAGTAACGCAGGTTCGGGCATCACACTAACTGTTAAAAAAAATACATATTAATGACTTGGCTTCGTATTTACTTGGCCTGCAGGGTGATGCTATTATCATTTAAACTGGTAATTATCGGATTATCAGATTTCTTTTTCCGATTAATAAGTATATTTATACCTTCCCAAGTCTTCTCTATATTATTAATGTTTACTTCAAAATAGGTGTAACAATAACTTCTTTTTCTGAAAAGAAAAAGTAGCAGCACTTTATTTCTATAAAGTTTGTATCGTTCTCTGTTGCCAGAGTAAAGATGCTTATTTTTAATTGTTGTGGTTCTTCGAAGCCTTTTTGTGATCCAAGGTGTTGCTGGCTGTTTACTTTTACGCTTTGATAAAGTTCGAAGTGGCGCATGCTTATTAAAGTTACTTAAAGGGATCCTTTCCAGACAATGTTGAATCCCAAGCAAGGTCCGATAGTTACTGCAAAAAAGTACGCTGAGAAATTCTGGAATAATCGTGAGTTGTAATTTTCTTAGGTTGGACAATTTTAACAGTAGATCTAAGTATAAAAAAATTGGGAAAAATAATCAGAGACATCTGAAACAATATTCCCACTGACAGATTAACCTTCGAATTTATTTAGGAAAATGTTATCGACGAGTAAAGCGGAATCATTGTAAACTCTTGTAGGTTTGTCAATAGTTGGTAAGAGGGCTTAGCTTTGTAGACAATTTAAAAATTGTTGGGCTTAGTTACAAGTCTGAGACCGAAGAATATTATTGTTGACATCACTTAAAAGATATACTGTTCTATCGGTGGCGCCATAGCGGTCAATAGTTTCTTCAAAATATTCCAAAAGGTGGTCAGCACAATTATGCTGTCTGTTGACAACGCCTCAGATAATATTGCTTTTGTTTGTTTTTCAAGGTCAAGCCAAAGGGCCTGAAATGCCTCATATATTAGTGTATTTTTCAATAACTATGTATTGAAAATTGAAGTTGCAAACAAATCGCAGCTCTAATTTCGCACGCGGCAAATCGCGTGATCTCGATGAAACCGTGTAAAAGGGCGGTTGAAAGATCAGGAAGAATCCTAGTCTTGTACGCAGCAGTAGATAATCTAAATGCAAACTGAATTAACTTTTTTTTTCAGGAACCTTTATTTAGAGTAACATCGCAATTATGGAAGAAACAGTGCAAACTTCAAGCTTTCTTACAAATGATTCGTTCACTCAGTAAACATTAAGTATAATTGCGGGGGACAAGAGGAGCCCATAATCCTAATCTCCAGGTTGTTATTACGCACGCGTCGCATGTGTGTAGCCAGCATTCATTTGGACTTCCACTAAGAATGAATGGAATGCACAGAACGAAATATGATCACGCGCTTTTGGACCTTCAAACACTAGTAATCTGACCACAGGTGTTTTGACTCTCTCACGTGAAACTAACGCAAAGCACACTAGCACAGTGATGGAGCAAAAACGTTTTGACCTTCGATCGTTGTCGCCCGCACTCCGTAACCTTTGGTTATTACTAGTATATAGTTAAACCTTTTTCACAATATGAGTATATATTTTTCACTCCGGGCAGCTTTACGCCTGAAACTGCAGTGTAGTAATAACTTTCAAAGAATTTATCGGTTTGAGTTCAAACTTTACAGGATGGTAGAACTTTGTGTTCCAAACTATCGTTGCTTTTTGATTTTCGATGTTAATGGTTATTGGTGAGAAAAACCAAGTCGTGCTATAGTCCTATTACGGTTGAGCCAGAAAAAAGCGAACAAATTTTGAACTTACAGGTCATGGTCAACAAAACTTTTCCTAATCTAAACTTAGATGATGCGACCAAGTATTAAAAAGAGCACCCAACCACTGCTTTCTGTAAATATGTGTTCAAAGAAGCAAAAACTGCCTAGAATTTTCTGAACCTCGATCGGGAAAGCTCAAAAATTTCTAGTCTTGATGATTGTTCTATTCACCTAACATGGTTGTTTTTCTATCATCTACTCTATGATTAAGGCTGTTATTCAATGTTAAAAAAATCTTATTACTTGGGTGTTACTCAGTGAAGAGTAACGAGTAAGGGAATAACCGGGTTACGAGAAAACGAGCGGTAAGATAAAAATTCAAGAGGGTAAAAATATCAAAAAACCATAAAAATCATAACAAGGACTATCATATCTAAATGTTGCCCCTTTTTAATCGTAAAAATATGTGTATTCCAATAAGTGACAAAAGTATATGACATCAGTACCCATACGCTTCACCCCCCTCCCAACGTCACTGCACTACTTTTACTTGATTTCACACCTCGGTCAAAGGAGAGTATAATTTGTGAAAGCCAAGTGAAGTGCTTCACTACTTTCACTCTTGAAAATTTTCAGACTGAACACCAGTACGATGCTTATAAACTATTAAGATTTTACTAAAATTGTCTAATTTATTTCACTCGTTTGCTGCGCTCACTCGTGAAACATGTTTCAACACTCGAAGAGAAAATTTCGTATCTTCACGTGGCCATGTAACATCCTCTATGTAAAAAAACATAGTTTCCGTTGACGTTATTTTGTACACCCTTGCCCATGTTTCCACTTAATGGTATTTAAATGAGATCCCTGTAAGTAAATAGACGTTCGGCCGAGAACCTTTAAGCAAAATAAAAGGCTGATATTTTTGCGTCACTTAAGAAAAGTCACCTACGCAAGAGGCCCTTCTTTTCTCATGGCTACGAGGAAGGAGCAATCGGGCGAGAAGGAAGGTATTTTTAAGTAACAGTGTTTTCGCTACCACGATAAGACTTTTTTCAGTAGGAAAGATTTGAGGAGATGACAGCAAGCCCAGCTCTCAAGTTAAATTACACAGTACAACCAAAGTTAAAGACAGGATCTTATTCATAAATTTACTTACTTTATCTGACAGAACTTTTCGCACTAAAAAATACCTCCGCGGCAATAAAGATCGGAGCAAAATCTGTGAATTACCTTCCTCCATAGTTGCCACTTCCTTTTTGGCTCGAAACTACTTTCAACTTTGTTGGAGAGAGGAGTGGGAATTGATGTCATTGTTTGTCACTCATTGAACTACACACATTTTATGTATATCATTGGAAAAGAACTGTATTTGGATATTGTAACCGTTGTCATGATTTTTTTATTTTCTTTTTTGTCATTAAATTTTTCGCTTTTCTTTTACCTCTTGAATTTTTATTCTATGGTGTACGTACTAGCTTCCTCGTTACTCGTTACTGCCTTGCTGCGTTACCTTGTTTAGTAACACCCTTATTGTTTGAAGGTACTTTCGCGCCAAGAAAGTCACTTGCCTATAACCATTGGTAGTCCCTTTCCTCACAACTCGAAGAATGGGCAATGATGGGGGAATGTGAGCTACACTGATTTTCTTTTTTATTGCCGCGATGATAACCTGATTGCAGGACAATTTAGGCAGCTTACATACACTCTAGAGCTCTTGCAAGGAAAATGGGGCCTGACCTCAGGTTAGCCCGTAGTTTCTAGTCCGTATTTTATACTCAGTTCGCAGTCTGCATTCCTTGACTTTTTATACTGACCGTAAGATTAATGTGCGCGATTAGAGGATAAGATAATGCATATAAAAATTCAAGTGAGATCTTTGTAATAATGTTTAGATTCAAACGGAGGGATCACGAAATTGTTTGATTTTAAAGTAGTCATTGTATTGGTGAATTAGTCTCCGTTTCCATTTTTCAACCGACAATTCCAAGCATATTTTAGTCACATTACAGTGGTTTGAAGGTCTCACAAAGTTGACAATTAAGAGAGTGATTATATCGGAAAATATAAATTCAAAGGAACTGAGTCTGTTTTTTTTAAATGAAATAGTTTCAAAAAGGCTTTGTAGTGAGAAAGTTTAGGAGGGGTGGGGTGACGATTTTTTAATGTTGCACCTAAAGTGTCCCTTACAATTATGTCAATAATGATTAGTCCTATCCTACACAGCCCCATCTGGGAGGGAACTCAAGAGGTATTGAAGTGTGTCCAGTGAATCCTTCCCTGGTGCCACAACTCGTTTCTGTCTATAAATAAAAGGCAAAAAAGACAAAACCATTAATTAGAAGGTTAACTAGTTATATAACTACTGTACGTTTTAAATATATGACGAAAAGGTCATCCTCTCTTGGTACAATCACCTCATGCCTTGCAGACGCCTCATTACTCTGGACAGCCTGATAATGTTAACAGCAACTGAATCCGGACCACAATGACCGCCACCTTAATATTAGTTATGCTTCAGCAAAGATAAGCCTTGTTGGCGTCGAGTAAGTTTCGAGTAAGGTCGAGGCAAATCATTGATATGCATAAGGGTCGTGTCAATGACGTCACCCACTGTTATAACCTAGGGAAAAAGTGAGTTCCTCCATACTTATGAGGGTCTTCCTCCATATCTAATGAGCGTATCTGTTATGCAATAGAAACAAAACATTTGCCTAGACTTGCCCGGTAAGTAACTTTCGCCCGGTTTGTCGGACCGTCTAATAAAAAAATAGGAAGAAGAGAAGCGATCACCTAGCAACGCAGAAAACGGCTTATGTCTTCTATTTAGCGCTAAAAATCGGATATAAACAAAACACATACACAAAGTGCAGCTGAAAACTCTTTATTTCAATTCGGGCTGACTATTACAAAGCCGTTTTCTCCGTTCTATGTTAAGGCAACTACTAACTGTTGACGTCTCAGCGCTTGGTAAGCATATGGTCTTGTCATTTTCACGCGCCGTTAGTCAGTTAATCATGCGAGTGAACAGCCATACCC